TTCTGTGTCTCTAAGTTCACTTTGTGATATCCATCAGCCACACGTGATGACCGAGCACCTGAAATGTGGCTACTGTGACCTGGTGTCCATCAACCACATGTGATGGCCAAGCATCTTATCTAACTGTATTTAATTTAAAAAGCTGCATGTGCCAAGTAGCCATCTTACTAGACATAAGCAATGATTGGGAGACAGTTACTTCTAGATCCAAAAAGGTGTGGTTCTGTCCCAGTGATGTCATCTTTCTCAAGTTCTTCCAGTCTTTGGTTTTGAGAAGAGGAAGCATTGTCGCATTACAGACTATATACTCTTTCTTGCTAAAGATATCCATCCACACGATTTGGGGCTACAGCTCAGCATGTGGAGGCCATGGGTTCTGTTGCTAGCACTGACAGTAACAATGTAGGGCTCTCAGACAAATAAACCAAATTCAATCCTTATAAGTTCATATGGAACCTCTAACCCCAAACTGAAAACAAATACACATTCACAGTTCGCTCTGTTAGTATTTTATTATCCATTTATTTGTGATGCCAGGGATTAAGGTTCAGTCCTTCTGTATGCTAAGTATACTCCTGAGCTCCTGAGCTAAACCTTAGCTCTGTTTATTCTTTTAAGTAGATATTTGTTAGCCTTAATTATTTGTATTAGCTGGGTTTAATAGTTGTTTAACTCCCTTATTTGATTGTTGGATTTTTGGAAGGGGTAGGTATTTTATGAAACCAAAACTGAGTAAAAGGGGGACAGTAAACTCTTGTGGATCTTATCCAGTTATATAGTAAGCAGATCTGAAGCAATACTATTTCTTTCTAAGCACATTTCAGTAAGGCACAATGCTAATCACACTTATTTATTCAAAATAAATGTATTTTATTGCCCTTTTATCCATCATCCTTGTTGAAGATCTGAAAAGACGATCATTTTAAAAGACAATGCTTTAAAAAAAATCTGGGTGGTGGCAGCATCTGACTTTAATCCCAGCACTCAGGAGGCAGAGGCAAGCAGATCTCTGTGAGTTCAAGGCCAGCCTGTGAGTCCAGGACAGGGCTACATAGAGAAACCTTGTCTTGAAAAAAAAAATACTTCAGCCTCTTTGTACATTTAGATTGGGGAATGTCTACTTTGACAGGTTCTGAAGTCAAAAGTACAATAATTTTTTAAAAGAAGTCTTAGTAACTTCTAAATTCTTAATTCTAATGTTTTCAGCAGATACACAAATGCCCAAATGCCCTCAGTCATTATGGAAATAATCACTGTGGTATAGCCAGCGAGTTCATAGCGATAGGAAGATGAGGCAGGACACTGGTTCACTCTGGAACAAAAGGACAGTGTTCCAACTGGGAACCTTTCTGTAGAAGAAACATATCCTGTCAGGACTCTCTGGAACTGCTGTAATTCCTGCGTGACCCCACCATGTCGCCAGAGACCAATTTTTCAATAGAGAGAAAAGTCAATAACCAAGATCAGAAAACATTAAATAATGAGAAAAGCTTCCCAAGTGTGGCTCACTACATTCATCAGGGTTTCAGAGCCGCAGGCTGGAGAAGAATGCTCTGTGGGGATTAAGATTTGCATAAAGCTCCAGAGGCAAAACTAATTTCCAAAATGCAAATGTAATTTAAAAGATACTACTAAAATGACATTCTAAATGTCAATACTAATTTTGAAAGTATAGCTGCAAAGGCAAAGATGATGGTATTTTTTCTTAATTTCCCTTATTTAAGCATCCCATCTTGTTTTTTAAAAGATTGTTTATAAAGTCAGCCATGAGCATTAACCCACTTGATGTATATAACGACACATTAAAGACTCTTAGAGTTTGTCTGGTTTCAGGTGATGGTGATAATCTAATCTAGAAATAAGGTCCCTTTACCCTGCACTTGGGTAAGAATTAAATCTAGGCTCAAAGCAAGAACAGTGAAACACAGGTACATCTAAGGCCAGCGAATTAAGCTTCAGAAGCAACAAAATTTTATCATTTTTCTTAGATACTGTCGTCAAACACATGCTTTTCCTCAATCAGACGTGAGTTTGAGGCTTTTTACCAGGTGTGCTGCAATGTACAACTGAAAAGCAACCCACCCCGCTGTAGTCTGCAGGCTTTAGAGGGGGACCAGCGTGACTGGTGGGTTCCCCTCCCTCCGCCAGCAGTCTTTCGTTATCTTATTAACTCTGCTGATTGCGCTTGTCAGATTTCCCTCAATTCCAATGCTACTTAAACAGCTGTGCGTCCTCTCTGGGCAATTATCAGTCACCACACTCGGGTTTCCAAATTAGCTGGTGAAAGCTGTTTAACCCTGAAAAAATACATTCATATACATCCCTTGAATAGGAGTTATTACTGAAAAAGGGATTGAAAAGACTCACATGACTGTAGCTACTGAATATGTTAATTGCAACACTAATTTACAAATTAGTAAAAATGTTTAACAAGGCTTAACATGCACATGATTTTTCCTTTATTATATATATTGACACATATGCTTTCTTTCTATACCTGTATATATGCATAATGTATAAAGTGGAATATCAAAATCCTGTCAAAGCCCAGAGTGATGATCCGCCATACGTATCCGTCAGGCCTTTAAAGGTGTTCAGGAATCGTTCAGCGCTGCTCTCAGAGGTCACTTCCTACAACCCCAGACTCTGCAACTCCTTTCAAAGACAGCATCTCTTGTTGTGCTGCCGTTCTTTGGGTGCTGGGACAGAACCCAGGGCCTCACATGCTGGGCAAGCCCTCTACCACTGGATATACAATGTTTTTATTCTTGGCTCTGACATTGAATTTTTTTTTCTTCCTGATACAACATATATGAGAAAAAGAAAAAAATTTCAGAGAGAAATGGAGGGTTTGTGGTTATTCATCAGCTTGTAGTCCCCTTCTACCAACTAGTAACAGTTAAAATTAAAAGGTCTATAAGCCAGGACTGTAGTATGCATCAGGTCCTGAGTTCAATCCCAGAGTCACATATATACACAAAAAAATAGTAAGAATTAAAAAATGTTAAAAATCAGTGAGGCAGAAACATACTTAATGTTTTATGTATGCCCTTTATAAACAAATTAAAAGATAACCTTCTAGAGGTAGCATGTTTTGGTATTTGAAAAAAAGGCTTAATAAAAAAAGTTTTCTGTGAGCAAGAAAAGTCTGAAGTATGTAGAATAATTTTGAAATTAATGTGACCAGCTCCCTACTCCAGCGTTCCCCTGCTTTCAGTTCCAAGAGAAGAAAAAGGCAATATCTCAACAGTGCAAAATTCTTCGTTGTGACAGAAACATTAATATGATAAATGTTCTGGAAGGCGAAGTACACTTCAAATCCTAACTATTCTTTCAGACCTCTGCTGAGTCTAACAGTCCTCGCCAACATTTGGTGAGGATTATCCTTCCTTTGGACAAAAGCTAGTGTTCCTTAGATAAATCAGGAGTTATTGTCATGAGACTCATAAAACCTTTTCACAACACAGATTTCCAAGGGGATCCTTGAAGGCTTTAGGGGCTGCTCCTTTTCCTAAGTAACAAAATACACCCCATGGTGTCTTGCTGACCCTACTCAGCTGTCCTCTGACCTCTTCAATTGTTGAAGCCTAACGCCAGGGCCCACAGAATTTGCCTCCCATATCAAAAAGGCTACTGTTGCTTCCCCCTAGCACCTGGTGAAACAAAATGCAACAGTTCTGGCTCTCCCTTCTGCCTTTCCCCCTCTCTGACCATTTTCCAGATGTTAAGCCAATACTGGGTTTCAGTGTCTTCGTGGTCATCACTAAGGAACAAACAGAGACTGGGCTGAAGTGGCAATGACCCTCTTGTTCTCTCTGGCCTCAAAAGGATACAACAGGTCATAAAAGAGGAAAAGCTCTTTGGCCTCCCCTGAAAACACTAGGCTATTTAAACACACTGTAACTTCTAAAGCCGGGAGAGAGGATTCTGTGTATGTTCTTTCTAAAAGACAAGAGGCCCTAAAGCAGTCACCCTAAATTCTTAATTCTTTTCTTTTCTAAATATTTTATTTTATGTACATTGGTATGAGAGTGTCAGATCTCCGGGAACTGGAGTTACAGACAGTTGTGAACTGCCGTGTAGGTGCTGGGAATTAAACCTATGCCCTCTGGAGGAGCAGCCAGTGCTCTTAACCACTGAGCCATCTCTCTGGCCCTAAATTCTCAATTCTTAACAAGTTTTTTTTTTCCTCCCCGCTGATATTGGAGGAGGGAGAACCAATATCACCCTTCCCCTCTGAATTAAAAGCCTTTAAAAAATAAAGTCGGAAACATCTTATTAAAGCTCTGTAACACATGTCTCAGAACAGTACCACATGGGTTTTAAATTTATGTGATCACTAAATATAGGCTGGGTTTTTTTTTTCTGTATAACCAAGGGCCTTGAAGTCTCTTATCAGACAATTGGAAAGAAAATTACAATAACCAAAGAGGAACCAAAAAGTGCATTATTGGAGGGACTGAGGGTGAGTATGATCAAGACATAATGTACATGTGAATGAAATTTTCAAAGAACAATAAAAAAGAAAAAAAGATGTGAAAAAATAAGAGTTTAAGATTTCATTTTTATTTTGTGCATGTGTGTTTGTCTGACTGTGGGGATGCCATGTGTGTGGACGACACGGAGGCTGTAAGAGGTCATTGGAGCTCATGGACCACCTGATGTGGGTGACGCGCAAAACTTCAGTCCTCTAGAGAAGCGAGAGGTCAGTGAGTGCTTTTACCCACTGAGCCTTCTCTTTAGCCCTTGAATTCACATTTTTCTAATTTATGTAGACCGGAAACACAGAGCTATCTGGGAGAAAAACTTAGTCAGTTTAACTGGGGGAATTGAGAAGAAGAGCAGAGAGGCGAGCAGAGGGTCACAACAGGAGAGGAGGCTACATACCTCCGGCTTAGTTTAAGGGCCAAACAGAGTCGCTTTATTTCAACTGTAAATTAATCTAATAAAACCAATTTGACCATGAAAAGTTTGAAAAGAGGAATACAATTACACAATACCTTGGTTCATATATTAACATTTTTGGCTCATGTTCATGGTTAGCTCGGCAGTCAACATCTCAGGAAGCTTGTTGGAGATCACCACGTTCTTCAGGGTTCTTTGCACCTATAAAAACATAGAATGCATAAAACCACAAGTTATTTCTCAGTTCCCTTTATTCTACAATATAACAATCTACATATCTAAATTCTACAAAACCATAGGAATTCCCAAAGTCCTGTCTACCTCAACTTATTACAATGGGAAAATAGAAAGAAGCTCCTATTCCTAAACTCCAACAACCACCCTCAATATATGGGCAAAATAATTTCTCTTTTTCTTAGAGCAACTCTCCCCACCCTTCCCTCAGTGGAAGCTGAGAAGTTTCTTTGACAGGTCATTGTAACAGTAAAAGTCTATTCTGTCTTGGAATAGAATTAAGATAAGACAACTTTCTTATTTTGAGGCATTTGGGAGTTTTACAATCCCTGATATTTGCCTAAAATTAATTTATTCAAAGAAGAAATTAATAAATTTATATTATAATTAGTATAATTATAATTAATTATAAAGAGGTCAAATATGAAGATAATATTTTTTTACTTTTTCAACTTCTGTAATGATTTCCCAAAAAATTGCAAGAAGAGAAAGGTTTTCTACCTTTCTGAACAGTGTGTTTCTAGGAGATATTAAATAAACTATAATCACCTACAATTGATTGAATAACGTGCCTATTATTCTTTCCCACTAAGTAGATTATGGTTGATATAAATTAGTTCACAAAGATATGATAAATTGGTAAAGCCTGTAATAAATTAAAGCAACTTGTCATTAATTTTTATACATAACTTAGAAGTAATTTTTACTGTGTCTAACAAAAGAAAACTAAAGATTCTTAGTTTTTAAGAATGTACTAAATGCAGTATGAATACATAACATTAAAATACTTGAAGTCATGCTAAAAATGTTTTTGTACTTTCTTTTTTACGTCAACTTGAAAGAGAGAAAAGAAACATTACAGATTTTGGGATAAAAAAATATTTGTCTTAACCTCTCCTTATTGGGATAATAATGAAAAACACAGGCCCTGGATGTTCAGGCTAACACTTCCCACTCACATGCACCAATAACATCTTTCCTACCTAGTCCAAACCGAAGATTACCCCATATGGTCAATGAGGTCAAGCTGCATTACTGCCAATGAGAACCGACTGACTCTGCAAGTATCTTAATGATTTTTAAAAGGGTCAATAATCCAATTCCAATGGCTTTGGAGTCTAAAACTGCTAATTTTTAGCCACGTGCTGCACACTTCACCTGCTAGTAATGACATTTTTGTATGTTCTTCTAATTACACTCAGAGCTAAGACCTTTGGCCCTGGACCACAGACCTCTATTCAGGTTGCACACATTTTCTTAAAGGACCTGGTCCTTTGTTGTCATTCCTCCTCTTTCATCTATTATTTACGCCCACAGAGAAGGAGATACTCTACCGTTTACGCAGCTTAATGCTTCTAACCATCTCAATTTCTTTGCCTTTCAACCAATGGGCTTTTTCATAGACAAATGCCAAAATGTTTGACAAAATCATTTTTTGTTTTTCAGTTACACTGCCCTCTCCTTTCTCATCTTCTATCCCTGGGCAACTTCCTGTCCTCTCCGGCCCACAGGAGGGACTTTGTCTGAATAAGGATTTACACACTGTGACCATTACCAACCAAACGAGTACAATACAAACCTCAATATCTCACAGATCAATAAAAATTATATATTTTTTTCTATCACAGAATCCATTAAATGAAATTGAGGATAATTTAAAATAACTTAAAACCTGCCCTCAGTCTCCATTAAAACACAGAACTCTCAGAACTCCCTAGCAGAAGTGCCAAAGATCATTCAGAAAACAATGAGGATATTAACTACAAAGTCAAAGTTTTCAAGTGTTTTAACATCTACTAGCTGTCGAATGGACATTTCAATAATTAAAAAAAAAGTAGAAAAGAAAAAAACAGAAAGTAAACTGAAATGGCTAAATGTTCAATTTTTAGCTTAATCTTTAAAACATTTTAAAGCAAAATCTTCAAAAACCATCCTATCATTATTGTTATTTCCCAATACTTTCTCCAGATATATGTACACACCTACATATATGTATGCACACACACACACACACACACACACATATTTTGGAAATCAGAAACACAAAACTGTTACCATGATGTAGATCACTCCCTCAGACCACAACAAGCCACCAAAAGATTCTGAGCTGCAAGATGTTTCTAACCCGACACTGGCCCATCCTTGCTTTCATTTCCTCTAGTGCTCAGCTTACTCTTGAGGTTTGAGGGTTTCCCTGTTGTCTGTCCTCTGCAGACCCTGAAACCTCTTGTCTTTTCTTGTTTTCACCATTTGCTTCACCCAGCAGTTCACTGGAGACCCATCCATCTTGTAATGCCTAGAGTGACAGATACTCTCCAGAGCAACCACACGCTGAGTGACCAGAAGATAACATCACCCCCAGGAACTCCAGAGAGAAATACAACCTTAGGACAAGGTCTGACTTGACAGACATCGGACCATAAACCTCTTCTAAGTGAAAAAGAAAACAATTGCCCCACACACAACCAAATCTGACCCAATCAAAGGCAGAAGAGAGTGATCATTTGTGGATTGCCTTTTCACTCATTCCTCACTTTCCCCCAGAGCTTTTATAGTGGGGCAATTCACTGCCAAGAGGCAAGAGACTTCTCCGAGGAAAGAAAAGCCTTTCTCAAGTGCCTTCTTTTATTGAACAATATTCAAAGTGAAATTCATTGACGTGTGTGTTGCAGGAAACCCAAGGCTTCAGTTCAGTCCTCTTCACCCTGCTCCTTCTTGTTTGAATAAAGCAATATCTGGACTTAGAAATGCTGACTCTATTCTACTGCTGTGAAAGGGACACTCATGCTTTGCAAATTAAAAACACATTAAGCACATCAGAAATTAAAATACAACATGTGACACAATGTCAACAATATGTGTAGCTCAGAATAGAAAAGCTCACCATCCATTAATCAACCTCCAACTTGGATTTAAAAGACAGTGATCAGGAGAGCATCCTGGGAAGGGCCGCAGACTCTCTGCTAACAAAGGAGAGGTCATGTGAACATCTCCCAGCAACGAACCAGTGCCAAGAAAGCTGTACATGCAGAAGGTTCTGCTTATCTGGAGTTTAGGGTTTTGCCCTTATTTCAAATCCAATGAGAAATAAGTATGCTTCTAACATTTAAAAAATAGGAGAGAAATTCTGAAGAACAAATAAACAAAAACCAACCTGGAGGTTAAATTAGAACATTGTGATCAATGTCAATTATGGAAATTAACAACCCATTTTTATAACAAATACCAAAAGACACAGAGGTAAACCTCTGTTGTAGAGAAATATATTCTCATTCTCAAAAAAGAACAAATACTACAAATATAGATGGCATATCTAAAGACCCCAGAATGTCCAAGGAAAGACTCATCAACAGTATTCCTATGAACTGTGAGCAATGTAAATGATATTTGCCTAGTAAAATATTTTAATTTTCCTTTAAAATTTTCACACAGAAAACCTTTAAGGTATGCTAAAATTGGGATGACTTTGTAGTCTGTGATTGATCCTCTCATCTTTATATTCCAAAAATCACCACAAAATTTAAAAGATGTTTTATCTATTGTGTTTAAATAATTTGTGGAATTTTTAAAAAATAGCCCCATAAACTAATAACTCCTATTTGAATGTTTCTGTGTCTCCTTTACTTCCTTACTTTGGTATCTTTATAAATACCATAGTACAATTTCTTTATAATCTCGGAATTTCTTATTTTATTTTTAAGGCTCGCAAAAAATATACAAAATAATTAAATAAATGTGAACAAGTTGATAACTTAATAGAAAAAGATTAAATAATTATAGAAAGACTATCATCTTTTAGAAGACTGTCTACCATGAACTGGCTCAAAGTAGTTCTCCTAAACTACTGAGCCTCAAATAGCACATCCTTGAGTACTCTCCAACTTGGACATTAATAACAAGAGAGATGTGACTTTGAAATGACAGCATTCCTGCAAAGGGTCCCAAAAGATCCAATTAAACCATCTTCTGAACACAGCAGATCCATATGCATGTGTGGAAAGAACACCCCTATGGGAAGTTCTTATTGCTTGACTGGCCAAAAACAAAACAAGACTTCTTTCTTTGAGGGTCGCTTCCAGATCACAGTTAGAGCTAGAAACCTACACTGGGGAAAAATCCATCAACATGAAATCCTAAGAGGGTTTACGCTTCAACACCATCTTATTTGTGCTTCAAAACCCTGTGAGTCCTCCAGTAAAGGCAGGGCTGGACCATTTCAATAATAAGAGAGGTGGCCAGTGGCAATTTATCTTCCATTTGGTTTCCGGACACAGACAAGAGCACTCCCCAAGTCCCCGCTGTCACTTTCTGCAGCCTTGGATGTGCAGTACCTTATAAACAACCCACAGGTTTCTCTGAGCACATTTTCTGGCAATGAAATGAAGCAGAATTTCATGAAATGGGAGGGCCACTGAGTAAGAGGAACACTGCAGACACTAGGGTGAAGGTCAGTTCTTGTTCCAGGCTGAGAACATGCAGGGTTTCCCACTGTCAACTCTCCGTTTTCTCACTTGCATTGAAATTTAGCAGAACTTCTTAAGCTCTTTCCATTTATCCCAATACAACTCTTCCCTTTGGGCAATGTTAGTCAACTTCCAGCAGTGTGGTATCAATTAAAATCTACACACTGTAAGATATTTTAACAAATCCCCAAAAGTAAAGTTTTCATAGGTCACAAACTCCTGGGTCAAAAAGACCTAAAACAGATAAGAGATTCATTCTGAATCAGTTGAGTTATGCCACCTTTTCACCAAACATGTCAACTCACAATCATCCTCATGAAAAAAACAAAGAAACAAACAAGCAAAGAGCTCCGGACAGCAGTAATTTAAACCAGGTTGTCACATGTTAACTGCAGTGGGATTATTCCTTGCAAATAGAGGACATTTTGTCACCAGGTATGACTTAGTCGTTTTTCATAATTATTTCTGCTTCTCAGAAATGAGAATAAAAGGCATTTATATATT